TTTTATATACACTATAATTCAAGTTTTATGTCGAAATAATTATCAAGGAAATACGAAGTATTAAATAGGATTATAAAACAATATTTATGTTCGACAACTACCAAAATCATAAATTAATATTTGAGTAAATAATACACATAAAAAAAATATTGTTTGTTGCTGTTATACTTTATTTTTCAACATTGATGTGATCCTTGATTGAGATATATACTAAAATAAACACATAATATAGTGACAAGTGGCATCTCTTGATGCACCCTTAATTTATTTATTTTTGGTAAATATCTACATATAAACTTTTAAGGTTGTGTTAAGTACTAAATGCAGTATAAAATAACCTAAATGAAAAAATTTATTATTAACATAAAAATAATAATAAAATAATAAAACACCCTTGTATAACTTTAAAATCCCAATATTCCATTTCACCTCACATACAATATTTATACTATTCACTTTCAATAACGTTTTCCCCAAAATCAACCCAACAATTCTCTAATCTACCTCTCCTATTCCATGAAATTCTCTTAGTTTTCAAGGAAAACTATTCAAAAATTTGTTTAACGACAAGAAGTTTATAAACAAGTACAAAAAAACTAATATCATATAACTAATATATAAAGCTAAACTTTTAGCCAGGTCACGAGACAAGACACTTGGCGTTCTAACTTTTTGCCAAGTGTCGGGTCACGTCATATAACTAATATATAAAGCTAAACTTTTAGCCAGGTCACGAGACAAGGACACTTGGCGTTCTAACTTTTGCAAGTGTCGCATCACGTGGATAAATGTAAATATGCGACCTATTTACTAGATGAAACCCGTGCGATGCACGATTTGTTTGAATTTATATATATATGTGTGTGTGCGCGCGCGAGCGCGCTTAAATTTGTTATATATTTAGATAAAATTCATAATATCAATAGATAATATTTTATATTTAATTAATCTAAACTTAAAAATCTCATTCGACAATTTTTCTTACATGGCATTTGAATTATTTTATTTTAAAAGATAAAATACCAATATTTCAAATGTACAAGTTGAATTACTATTTTATTCAAAAAAATTATTACACTTCACAAAAATTATCATATAAACTTATTTTTTATATCATTATATATTTTAGAGCGAAGGAAATAGTTCAAAGCATAAAACATCCATTTATATTATATACCGGTTAAAATAATATATTTCACAATCTAATAGAATTTTATTGCTATGTAGATATGTGAATTAGGGTCCGTTCAGGATTCATCTCGGATTGGGTCATTTTAGGTTACGAGTCACGACATGTTTAACCCTTTTCCAAAGTTTTGGGTTCGGGCCGGGTCAACTCGACGGGCTTTGAACATTTATTTTATTTAATTTATTTTTGCTTTTTTTTATGTATTAAATCGAACATTTCCACCAATTCCTACTAGATAGCAAATCTTCACAACACTTCGGCCCCGTTCTTTAGAGCTGCTTTGCTCTGTTCTGCTTTGCTGAAATCTGCTTTGCTCTGCTCTATTCTGCTCTGCTTTGCTTCAATCTGCTTTGCTATGCCCTTCTCTGCTCTACTTAAAATTAATACTTAATATTAAATTATTATAATAATAATTAATATTTAATAATAATAATAAATAGTTAATATTTAATATTTTATTATAATAATGAATATTTAATAAGAATAATAATAAATAATTAATATTAATAAATAATTAATATTTAATAATAATAATAATTAATACTTAATAATAATAATAATTAATTATTGATATTTAATAATAATTAATTATTAATATTTAATAATAATAAATTATTAATAATTATTATTAATAATATTAATAATAATAATAATTAATATTTAATAATAATAATAGTAATTATACTAATAGTAATAATAATACTTATAACTAATAATATTAATTATAATACAATAATTGATTTTTATAATAACAATTAATATTAAGATAATAACTAATATTTAAAGATAATACTAATTATTAATTTTTAATAATAATAATAAGTTAAATATTAATTATTATTATCATTATTAATTATAATTATAATTAATATAATAATAATTAATATTTAACTTTAAAAATTTAATGATTATAATAATGATGCGATAATATTAGTAGTAGTAGTAGTAGTAGTAGTAGTAGTAGTAGTAATAATGGTAATGAAATCTGCTCGGCTCTGCTGAAATCTGCTCTGCTCTGCTTTGCTTTGCTAATTAATTGAACTTTATAATGTGTAGTTGTGTACTAATTTATTGAACTTTATTTTATTATGGTGGAAATGAAACACTTCACTTTCTTAATTGAATTTCTAAGTTGTAGAATGCATAAAGGCTTAAATATAAATATGGGTTTTTCTAAGCTATGCCCTTAAGGTAGTCGAGTTTCTAAGGTGTATCCATACTTTTTCAAATTTCTAAGTTGTGTCCCTCAACTCACTACCATTAATGAATGGTACCGTCCTTGGGACTTCCACGTCACCTAAAGTTAACTATAAATTTAATAAAAATATGATAAAAGGTAAGGAAATGATACGAGAAAGAAATCTTAACCACAACAACCCTAATAACAAAAACCAAAGCCATGAAATCACACTCACAATTAACTTTTAAATAACTAATAAAGGTACATTTTAGTATTGATAAGAAGTTGAAGGGCACGGCTTAGAAACTTGAAAAAGTATGAGTACACCTTAGAAACTCAACTACCTTAAGGGTATAGCTTAGAAAAACCCTATAAATATTAAGGGGGGTGACATGTGGCATATGGGGGTAATGAGTGACTTATGATGCCACGTGTCAGTTGAAAAAGTTGTAGTTTATGTTTTTAAATACTAATAAAGTATAGATAGATATTTTATAAGGGAAGGAAATTAAAAATTGAACTGAGTTGAAGTGAACTGAAGTCAAAATAATCTGAAGAGAACAGACCCTTGGATACACTTTTATTTTGCTTTCAACTCCCCAATATAAAATTGGTTTTGGTTGATGTATCAATTAATTTTATTTTGCTTTCAATTCCCCAGCTCCATAATAGTTTCACTTCTATCAGAGTAAAGATTACGATCTTTCTTTGTTAATTAATTTTTTTTTATTAGTATTACAGTATTTTATTCTCTTTTGTTCACTACCTTCCAAAATTGAGGTAATTCTTGTTAATAAAATTAATGTATGAATGGTTTTGTTGTACTGCACACATTTAGCCCTCAATGTCACCTAAAGAAAAAAGCCTCTTCAAATTTCGCACTAAAATGCGCTGTATATATTCTTTTGTGATACATGTTTAACAACTGCACTTCATTTTGGGTTATATACCAACTCCATAATCATCTCATAAATCCTCCTTACCTTTCCTATATAATCTCCTCTTTCCATACCAATTTCATTCAACCAATAATCCTTTAAAACATACATTCGAGTGATCATCAATTCAGCACACAAAATTCTCCTCGAACGACAACGTATCAGTCTGGAAAACATGATAAAGAAATCAACCATGTCATTGTTTGTTATGATGCTGCTACTAGCAGCTATGCACACAGCAAAAGCTGTTGCTTCCCCTGAAACTCCGGTCATTGAGTTGTACATGCACGACATTCTCGGAGGGAGTAACCCTACAGCGCGGCCAATCACAGGGCTTCTTGGAAACATCTATAGTGGGCAGGTTCCTTTTGCTAGACCACTTGGGTTTTTTACTCCCAAAAATGGTGTGGCCATCCCTAACAGTGATGGGTCGATGCCGAACATGAACGGCGGTGTCCCATTGGGGACGGGGTTGGCTGGCACTGCCTTTGCTGGATCTAACAACAACAATAACAACAACAACAACAACCAGAAGAACATCAACACAGCACAGCTTTTACCTGACGGTTTAGGCCTTGGGTTTGGAACTATTACAGTTATTGATGATATTCTGACAACTTCTCCTGACTTGGGTTCACAGACAGTTGGAACTGCTCAGGGTGTTTATGTTGCAAGTTCGGCTATGGGAAATACACAAATGATGGCATTCACTGCTATGCTGGAGGGAGGCGAATATGGGGACAGCATCAATTTCTATGGTATTTACCGGATCGGAAGCCCATATTCTAGGTTATCAGTGACAGGAGGCACAGGAAAGTTCAAGAACGCTTGTGGGTTTGCGGAGCTTCGCCCATTGATACCATCTGGACAGCATGTTACAGACGGAGCAGAGGCGTTGCTCAGGCTTCTTGTCCATCTCAAGTACTAAAACAAAGGAAGGAGCTACTAAAGGTCATCTTGTATCTATTTGTGCTTTGGTTTTGTTTGTGTTATGGTCTCTAGTTTTCCTGTCTTTACAGTAAGAATGAGAATCAAAGAAAGTGTGTAATTCATTCAACTTGTGTAATATAATATAGCTTTCCCACATGAATGGAATTTAATTATTTAAAAATTTTAAGTCCATCTCAGACCACCTAGTCAATAGAAACAACCACGATTAACCATCACCACCACCCAGAACTCGTTTGTTTGCTGGGTTTTAGAGAGGTTCAGAGGTACACTTTCTAGTAACTTACAGCCAAATATTTTCGAAAAATCAAAGTCAAAATGAACAAAAAGGGGCATCAATGCTGAAAGCCCTACAGAAGGAAAAGCATTTAAACAATTTTTCAGGCTTTAATCTACAATGCTAGCAAACCTATGATCAGTACCTATCAAAGGATATACAATAAAAAAACACCACTAAAGTTAATTACCGTAGATAATAACACCACTAAAGTTTATTACCGTAGATAATAACAAATACATGCTGGTCATGCCAACAAACAGAAATGAAACAGTTTGAAGTCTCAGACTATAAAATGAAAATTAAAATCTCAGTTTGAATAAAAAAAATTTGTCTTTAAAATCAGTAGTCAAAATAAGACAGCTGACTAGGCTATCCGATGACTTCATAAGACACGTATCACACTCGTTGCATACATCATTTCAAAAAAGATAGGGCTATCGTCACAATAAGTTCACTACCTTCAAATTCATGATATGTTCCGATTCATTTTATGCCAAGAGATATACCAAGGACAGAGATCATTTGTTTTGTTGCAGTTTACAAATTTTTTTACCTCCTAGACTAGCTCATAGAGATATCGCCATTTTATTAACAAGAAAACAGATAACAAGACATATAAGCTATGAGGTCAAATATCATGAAAAAAATTACAGAAATATAATGCATAAAGCATATGCACTCCCAAATAAACAAATGTCATCACCCAACTCATCAGATATTTATCATACTATCAGAATACCAACATACACAATGTGATAAAACATGCGTACTAAGCTTTGACCTTCATATTGTATGCTGTAGATAAAAATTTGCTACACATATATGCAACATTATTATTGTGTAGATAGAATAGGAGAATTAATAAAAAAAAAATCACCCTGGAGTGAATGATCTATTCCCAAACCATCCTGATCCTACAGAATAGAAAAGATGAAAAAAAAAGAAAGAAAAACAAACAAACCAACTTACTTACAAACACACACGTCTAACTTTTATTGTATGTTCACAGCTCCCACAACCAGTCATATCATAATGTAACTTAAGATTTGTTATCTGAATAAAACCTCATTCTTATGAATAGGTTATCAAGAAAAATTATAAATACATTTGCTATTTAATTAACTTTGCAGTTTCCTACAAAATGATCTTGGGTGGTTTTGTGAGAACAAAACAAAAGTTAGAAAAGGTTTTGATTAACTTTATTTTGATAGGATAGGCTTTCTTAGCTAAGGATATAAATAATCTGAAAAAATATTACCAATTAAAATCTCTTTCCACATCAAGATAATGAGGATATTTTAGCATGCTGAATTATGCTCTCTTGATCAATCCCATATAATGAATCAATCAAGTTAACACGCAATGAAGCTGGACCTTTTGCATCCTGCATACCCAGCTCACCAGCAATGCCGAACACAGATAATGCTGCAACTGTAGCTTCAAATGCATGAGATGGATCAGCAGCAACAAAGGCAGCAATTAGAGCAGTGACAGAGCAACCCGTTGCTGTTATCTTTTGCAACATCTGCACTCCATTGCGTGCACCAATTACTTGTTGCCCATCTGTAACAATATCTACAGCTCCAGTCACGGCAACAACAGCACCAGTTCTTAGAGCCAGTGATTTTGCAGCTTCTAGAGCATCCATCGATTCATGCACACTATCTGCACCCTATGACATGTAGCAATCCATATGAGCTATTACCTAAGCGGAAGACATGTATTCACATTTAAAAAAAAAAAAAAAAAAAAAAAAAAACAGAAGAAGAAAGACTATTACCTTTCTAATGTTAAATTCAAAAATCCAAATTAAACTAATACTGTATGGCAAGGAAAGCTAAAACCAAATGCAATTTTCAAAAAAAGTATGAAGCAGCTGGAAAATTTTTACAGAGTTCACCAAACAGTCCATAATCCACAGAGCAGAAGAGCAATATATCATTTGATTCTCAAAATAAAACCAGTATTGTCCGAGTAACACTTTAGTGATATATTACAAGTATATGCATCTCTTCGTCAAACATAGATTCACCCTAATATCTAAATCCTACATGTTTGGCAATGCCATACTCAAATTAGATTCCAACACCAATAAAGAGTTGAACACGTATGAACGGCATCAAACTAACATATTCTCATCAGTAAACATAAGGTCATATAGACACTTACATGATTGTGCTACTATTCTCTGCCCATACATAATAGGCCACAATATATAATTCCCAAATTGAATTAGAATACCATAAGAATCCTTCTCTGATAAAGGTTTTACATCCTAAGGTGCCACTAATATCCTTGAAATGCATATATAAACCATAAGTATGACGGTAAATTTATAGAGTGACTTATTGATTCGAGACATTCCAATATAGTATTGAGGTCGATTATTAGGGACATTCAAGACAAAATTGTCTTAGCATTTTGTGTTCGAAATATGCTAATTCAAATGACTAAACATATACTTGTATATGTCACTTCTCATGGTGTAAAACTTATCTAAGTTAAACTAAAAGTTCCTAATAATGAATTCAAAACCATTAATTAAAAACACAAAACAACATACAATAATAATTCAATGAAATTAAACAAATCCAATATTCCACCAACAATAATCGATACAAACAATTACTACCTCCTTCCCTAAAAGTTCTTCATCATCCCACAAAAAATTCAAAACACGAAAAACTTTCAAACACGAGCAATAATAATACCTTAGTATCACCAAAAGAAGCACGAGAAAGAGCAATAATCTCAGACCCATTACCCCTAACAACAGTAGGCTTCAACAAAAGCAAGTCCAAACAAGCCCTTAACCGGAACCCGGAACAACCGGCAGCAACAGGGTCAAACACCCAAGGCTTCCCATTTTTCACGGCGATTTCTGCGGCGGACTTCATCGCCGGAAAAGAAGATGCGGTGAGTGTGCCGACGTTGATGTAAAGGGCGGCAATTTGAGGGGTGAAATCAGGGATTTCGTCGATTGAGTGAAGCATAGCTGGCGAAGATCCGGCTGCTAAAAGAGTGTTTGCTGCTAAATCCATTGATACGAAGTTTGTTATGCATTGGATTAATGGTGAGTTTTGGCGTACTTTTGAGAGGATTTCCCATGATTTTTGGGACCATTCTTTTGGTTGTGTTTCTTGTTTCTCCATTGGAATGGATCTCTTTCTTTGCTTCTTCCACCTTACTCTATTGGTTGGTTGTGGGCCTGTGGCTTTATAGAGGGAAAAAGGCTACGGCTTGTTTGGGAAATGACGGTTGGTGGTTGACTACTTCACTTGACTAATTTGACCGGTTGAAATCAATATACTACGTATATACTTTATCCGTTCTATTAATATTGTAACAGGGAGAAATATCTATAATTGTGTAAAAGTAAAACTTATAAAAAGTTGATGTCGTGAAAATATTTTATGAGATGAATCCAACAAGATCACACATGAATATATTTTGCTTAACGTATAAATCATATTATATGGTCAAACAAGAGTGATGAATAGTGCAAAAAGTTCATTGTTGCAATACTAATAGATTGGAGGAATATTATACTAAAAGACAAGCAAATCAATGTGAAGTTGACACATGTCACTTTATGATTTGCTTGTCTTATAATGGTAAAAAAATAATTTAAAGAAATCTTAGAACTATAATTTTGGTTAAAATTTATTATATAAATCATTTGATTCATAATTTTGTTAATAAAATTTGATAGAATCTAAACTATTTGGAAATAAGTTAATTTATGGCAACTTATATTTAATGAATTGATGCTATATGTTAACAATTTTTTGAAATGATTGATTCAAATATACCCTATATATATATATATATATATATATATATATATATATATATATATATATATATATATATAATTTTAGAGTATATTTTTTCATAGTATATATAATTAATTTTGGAATAATAATATTTGTCATCAACTTTGCCACTATATGTAATATTTTTCTTAATTAAACTACACTTATTCACGTTCAATAATCTTTTACCTTTTTCACTTTTACCTTTTAATTGATAATTACTCTATTTTATTATCTTCGTATTTTTAGTTTATTTTAGAGTTGTTTCTGGGCTAATGCATAACAGGTATTATCCGGAGTCTAAAAATGATATTTTTTTTTTGAATAAATAGACATGATGAGTACAATGTACTAGGGTTGTACTTGACTGACCCTATTCTATAATTTATATCAACATACTAATGTTCAATATTTTTTTTTTAAAAAAATATTATCCCTGCTTCTTATTACTTGCAACAATTTATATGAACATACTAATGTTCAAATTTTTTTTTTTTTAAAAAAAAAAATACTATCCCTGCTTCTCATTACTTGCAACAAAGAGGTATAATTTATGGGATATAAAAATATTTTTTTATTGCAATTAATAAAAAAGGGAGTTAGTATTAGTTTTTAAAAGTCAAACTTAATTTTTTGTGTACAGTAAAACCTATATAATAGGAAAAAAATGTTTTATCATGGTGTTTATAATTAATTTATACTCTTTTACTAGACTAAAACCTACAATTAGGAAAAATTAAAAGTAAATTAGAAATGAGAATAACGTAAAATTTTATTTTATAATTGACGGGAATGTAAAATATTATTTGCATTGTCATTTCTTAATCCCTTGGTCATTATGTGAGTCTATATTTGTGTGTATGTTCATTGTCATTCCCGAGGTAATGCAAAAACGAGTATTATGCGGGGTTTAAAAATAGAAATTTTATTGAAAAAAAAAATAATGAGTAGCATATACTAGGGTTGGCTAGGTATTTGAGTGAACATATTCTAAAATTTATATGAATCATACTAATGTTCAACATATTTGGTTTTTAATACTCCCGTTCCAGAATGATGTTCCTGTTTCGTAAATCGATGCAAATTTTTACCCAACTTTGACCAGAAATATCTTTAATATCACACTAGCAAAAATTATAAAAGTTAGATATTAATAATCTACTCACTAAGTCGAATCAAACAAGATCCCACATGGCTATATTTATTCTTATAGATTAAGAGAAATTTAGAATATTCTCTCTTTCTTAAAAAAGTCAAAGATTCTAAACAAGAACATCATTGTGGAACAGAGTACCCTTGTTTCTTTTGCCTGCAAGTTGTAACAAGGGTGTATTATTTATGGGATATAAAAAATTTCTTATTAGTTGCAACTAATAAAAAAATAGAGTTAGTTTCAAACTTAAATTTTATGTTGTAAGTAAAACCTACATAAAGCCTTTATTCATAGGAAAAAAAATATTTTATCATGATGTTTATTAATAGTTTGCCTTTTTCACTAGATTTAAACCTACAATTTGGAAAAATTAAAAATAAATTAGAAATGAGAATAGTTTAAAATTTTATTTTATTTTTTAAGGGATCGTAAAATATTACTACAATGATGAATATTTGTTTGTATATACGGGAATGTAGTATTTACATTCTCATTTCCTAATTTATCCATTGATCATTATTGCGAGCCTTTATTTGTGTGTATATACTATATACAACGATAAATGTTTAATTTGTTAATTTTAGTGATTCTATTATTAATCATTAAGTTAAATTATAAATTAATATGTTGATTTGTAAACCGTGCATCGCACACGGGCACTATGCTAGTCTTTGATTATTTATAATGGCTTTTTGAAATTTTTTGGTGTGAGTCACAAGGGCGGGGTAAGCTTTAACCACTTGAGCTATCCCTCACTCTCCTGAAATTGGCTGTTTGTAAAAGTATTTAATAAATTTTATTGTTGAATGTTGGCTGTTAATTAGGTAATTTGTGGGCCAACAAGCCAAAAGCCAACAAAAAAAGCGTAGCTTTTCATAGGGGTGACCGGGTGAGCAAAAATTCAGGGTACCCTAAACCGGATCCGGAACAAATTCAGGTTCCGGTTCCGGTTGCGGGTAATAAAACTAGGAACCTGTTGCAACAGATTCCGGTTCCGGGTAATAAAATTTTGGACCCAAAACCTGTAGGATACCATATTAGAACAGCTTTTGGTTCCGATTCCGGGTATCGGAACCGAAACCTATAATTTAAGCCCAAATATGCAAAATGACATATATTAGTAACCCTAAAAGTAAACAAAAACCAAGCTCATTTCTCATTTTTCATTTTCACCGGTCGTCACCTACTACAAAACCCTCTTATTGGTATATAATCTAATAATCTATCATCTATGTATGATCTCCTTCCCTTAAATTAATTCTTATGCTATTTAGGCATCAAAAGTCTTACTTCATGGGTTATCAAGATTCAAGATGCGAAATGAGATTATGTAATAAAATTTGTATTTTTATCCTATAAGTTTAGTATTTGTATTAAATATACTAGACAGTAGACAATTAGTGTTGGATTGTTACACCTATATTTGTATTAAATTTGTAAGCTTTTAATTTATGGTAAACATCCATTTTTTTTTAATAACTTTGGAACAATTTAATAATTTTGGAATAAAAGACAGGGTACCCGGTTCCGAGTAATAAAATTAGGAAGATGTTGCAACAGGTTCCGATTCCGGGTAATGAGATTTGTTCAGGGTACTCTGCTACGCTCACCGCTAGCTTTTCCTTTGGCTCACTTGGCTTAAAAAGCCCGTTTTTTTGCAGAATGAAAAGCAAAATACCAAACATTTTTTTTTTGTTGTTTAACCATTAAAAAAAAGGGCAAAAGCTAATAAAAAAAAGCCAATTATCAACATGGCTTACATGTATATTCTGGGAAATGATATTGGCATATATACCTCTATGTGAGATTCTATGCTCTTTTTACATAGGGGTGTGCCAAAATAAATTTTCATATATTTAGTGTATCCTCTTTCTTTACTCCTTTTATTTCATAATAATTGCAACACTTTTCTTTTATGTTTGTTTTATAAAAATTGCGACACTTTCTTATTTAGTAAAGATCCACTAGTAATTCTATCGTTTCTCTCTCTATTAACCCCACTTTCACACATATTTTATTTTTTCCCTCTCCTATCACCCCACTTATTATTAAAATTTGTGCATGCCCTATTATTACAATTATTACGAAATAGAGGGATTATTATGTAATTTTTTCTACTCTATCTAGGTTTTCACCTTGAGAGGGTTTTTTAGTCTTTCCTTTTTTCAAAAGGTTCTTCTTTATTTTCTGAATATTAATGTACATAAAATATAGTTATGGTGACCACTTTAATTATGCGACAAGATTATTGAAAACCTAAATCGGTTGTTCAATTTACCTTATTAGGCGTAATTTTTTATTACATGCAATTAGTTATATATAAAAATAAAGCAAACATTCGTATCTATATAGAAAGTAACTTTGTAAATCAAAGCATCCTAAACATGACACTACACAATTTTTAGTAAAAACCTAACATTAATATGATTAATAAAATACTAAAACATGATACTAATATTTAAAAGAACCTAAACATGATATTAAGTAAGGTTTTCCATACAAGAATAATTAAACTAAATAAAGTGTAACTGCTTTACTTACTTTGGTTGTGTAACCTTGCAACTACATCATGAATAGAACATTAAAAATATCAATATAATTAATTAATCAATGCAAACTAATTAGAAACAATTAAAGTAAAGGATTTAACCCTCAAGAATTATACCTTAGATGATGTGGAGCTTTGAGTGTTGTACGCATGTCTAGGACCCAAAAAGGCCTTAATATTTATAGGGTAGTGCGCTGGAAATAAAGAAAGAGGTCGGAAAGTGTGATGACATGATAGATTGATAGAGGTATAGCGCCACGGTAGAACAATATTGTGACATGGTGCAAAGCATCGTGACGCGACACTCTTGGCGAGTGGCGACACTTACTAAATGAATCGAGAAAGGAAAAGGGCAAGATTAATCCGAAGGGTGTTGCAACACAGAAAATCGTGTTATGCCACATTGGTTGGTCGCGACATATGTGACGAGTCATGACACTCTTGCCTTAATGTGGCACTTTTGAATATCTAGAATATTCCTATTTATAATACTTATCCAGCTTATGATGAAATGTATTTGTTTATGCGGTCTTTTAATGCGTATTCATATTTGTCGAATATTTTAATGGGTTTGTATTAATTTGTAGGCTAATAAGAAGTTAATGGATTGGACTTGGAACAAAATAGAATAAGATTTGATCGAATAAAATAAAAAAGGTTAAGGCGGCTTAGGATGGAATAAAAAGGAAATAGATTAGGTTTCTAAACAAAACTCCAGTATTCTTTAAATCCAATATGGACCAAATGACAGTGAAAGAAATATTCATCATTGGGTTTTGGTCAAGGAGAAACTTTTAGATGTCTATAGTTACTTATTTGCATCTTTTTATTGAATTTATTAAGAAAAATAAAATGACCTTTTGATTATTCCAAAATAGAACGACTTTTGATGGACATCCTCTCAGAAAAGAATATGACTGGTGGGTAATCTATTTAACAGGTTTTTGTCACACGTGTCGCAATGTTATTGGTAGTTTTTTTTTTCTTTCCACATTTTTCATTTTGAAAAATTGATAGGCCACGACCTACTTGTGGAGTGAACTGATCAAGCTCTAAAAAGACCACAAATCAACCAAGAAACATGACTTTTACTCTCTTTACTCAAACAATCTCCCTATAAATGGAGGAAAAGCAAAACCATAGAAGAAACAAAAAATAAGAGATAACATATTGGGCATAAGAGGAGATTAATATATAACACTTAGATATATATTACATAAGTAATTTGAAATCTAGTGCTTAGTGGTATGAGGCAATGAACTACAAGTCTAAGGGTGGATCGGACAAACCTTGAAACCCTTAGTTCTCTTGATCAAGAAGTGGACGAAGCCTGAAACTCCAAGATTTAGTGCATGACCCCCACAACACATATATCACTCCAAAATTTATATGAACTCCGTGAAGAGATATGCTCTTTTATAGCCAAGCATATTCATCTTAGGTCTAATAGAGGCTTTAGGAAATCCATCCAAGTTTTCCATATAAGATGGCTAGTCTTCACAACCGTACCACATAGGTGAATCACAAACATTTCTCAATAGTACTTAGTCATTGGGGTTATAACATGTTCACAAGAACTTAACAAGTGCTACATCATAGCTATATAATTAACCTTAAGTAACAGCCGAAAAATGTTACAGAAAGTAGTAAAAGTGTTATTATAGACAATAAGTAACACTTTAGTTGGTGATACATTCGCCCATGTTACCTAAGGTCTTATGTAACGTTTTGGGTGACGTATGGTAACACTTTTAAATGTGTTATTACAAACCCTCTTATGTAACACTTTTTTATTTCATTAGTATCATTTTTGAAGTTTTACTTTTTATTTCTTATGTAACACTTTCTTATCTTTGGTAACATTTTTCAATTATTATGTAACACTTTATCCGACATTGTGTACCACTTTTATGAACGAATGTAACACCTTATTAACCATTAGGTAACATTTTTTAATCATCTTTTGACATATAGTAACACTTTATACAACATTTTGTATTATTTTTTGCAAACTAATGTAACCCCTCGTTAAATAATAGATAACATTATTATTATTATGCAAATTTTTATTTTTTTTTTCAATATGAAAATTATATCAACATATACAACAACCACAAATGTGAAATTAACATATAGGCCAGGATATACAATAATATGAATTGATATAATTTCATTATTATTTTTTTTTAAAAAAAAAACTAGCCATAAACACCAATTTTTTTTGTTTAACTAAACAATCTAATAATCAAAACAAAAAGAAAGTGAACTTCGATCTATAGACAACCAAATTCCCAAACAGTATACATCAGCAGATAGCAGTATATAGCTGCAGTAACAACAAGAAAGCAGTAGACTTCAGTAACAGTAGTAGTAGTGACACCGATAGCAGCTCAAGAGGCCTGCTGCAAATTCAGTTGTAGCACTAGAGGTCTGCTGCAAATTCTGTAAGGAGGTCAATAATGTTGATTTGGATCAGCCAACTGTCACAATAAGAAATAAAGAGCCAGTTAGCAGCCAAGAATAATAGGCTTGCAATCCAAAGAGGTAAGAATACATTCTTTCTTAATTTGCAATAAGTAACCCCAAATCAGCCATAGTAAAGTTTGAACATATCAATATATCCTTACCCTATAAAAGCACCAACAAACAAAAAATTGGGGTTCCTTATGAACAGTGTTCAGACCAAATTACCCCTGTATTTGTGCTGGCATTTCCTTATCTACAGTGTTGTGACTGATTTGCCCTCAAAAAAATCGTGTGCATCATTGCTGCTAATTCACTGACCACATGTAGGGGTGGGTGACAACGTGTCTGAAAATATATGACAAGGTGGGTGATTAAAGTTATCATCTTTGCTTAATTTTTGGACACTTATGCATCGCATTAAAGCAACTGAACATGTCGGAATTCATTTGACATTGTTTTTGATTGCTGATGCATTGATTCAATTAGAGCTTAATTTGTGATTTGCATGAATAATGTAAGGCTAATTTCCCATTGTTCTGATTGCAGATGCATTAATTCGATGTTCATGGCGCAATTGTTGGTTTCCACTTCTAAGGTATTGTTTAGTTTTGTCTTAGAAATTAGCATTGCACATTTAGCTGATTATATTATGTTTGTTGTAAGTGATTAGTGGTTAGAGGGTGGCGATCAATTTCAGTGATTTGTTTGTTTAGCTGATTATTAATTTATGCTTACAGTTATTTCTTCGTTTAGATATTCATTTATGCACCTTTGTGGGATTTACAGCAATTCAGACATTGGGAAAATGGATTTGGGAGGACTAAATTGTTTGATCCTTTTTATGGTGAGCCTCTTAGTTATCCGTTGGTCTATTGTTTTGCATGCTGTGTGAGAGGGTTTCTCTTTTACAGCTTCTGCTCAAGCTTTGGGAAGTGGGATTAAGGTTTCAAAAGAGATTAAGCTACTGTTTGGTTAGCTCAAGTGTTGGGAAGTACGGTTAAGGTTTTTTAGTTTTAAAAGGATTAATTTGCTGTTTGGTTTTCAAATCAAAATAAAATCACTTTTATTTCTGCTTGCAGCTGCTGCTCAAGTTTTGGGAAGTGGGATTAAGGTATGTAATAAAAAGATTACTTTGCTATTTTTTGAAATATAAGCAAATTGTTAACTTTTTCTTGATTGTGAAGTAGATTAGATTTGGGTGTCATAATTACTTTATTTGATTTTTGGCTTAGGCCTTTCACACACTTTTTGGCTTTTACAGCTATTTCTTTTATGCTGGTTGCAGCTCATCTTTTTACCCAGTGGTTTTTAGATGGTGAACCTTATTAGCTATCGGTCTAACACTTTTCATACCAATGGGTAAATGTTTTCCTCTTTTTTAAGCCAAAATACTGATACATGGCTCATTGAATTACCTGCTGTGTATGGCTTAGTTTGTTTGCATTTGTTTGTCTTCTACTGCTTTGTGTTTGCATAAATTAAGGATACAAGCCAGTTCAGCTGGTTTTCCTCATCCTCATTGCAACAAAAAAAAACTACACACACCCCAGCATAGTCCCATGGAGGTTACATTAGAGGTAATCATGAAATTGGATAGAGCCTTCTTTGCTATAGTAACAACAGTACACCTCTGGAAAACTAATCTTTGATATTACTGACCATGAACACAGAACATAGATGAACTTGCTTCAAGGATTTCTTCAGAATCATGACATTTTTAAACTTGACAAATTGATTACATTGTTTAGATTAACTTGGCATGGTTAAATTGGTGGCCATTATTAAAATTAAGTAGCTTATGTACACACAACAATTTACCAAATTGGTTGCTTAACAAACTTTGTGTGATTTATTTAACAGCAGTTAGTTTAAGTATAGTCTATATATTAGTGATGAAGTAAAGATTTAGTTACATTTGTTTTGGTAAAGGTTGGCTAATTAGCCTGCCATATGTTTGTGTGGCCTGTCTTTTTAAGTGTTCTTTGGTTCACAGTTAGTGTGGAATCTGGAATTGGTTACATGGCCTGGCTTAAGCTCTGGTTTACATCTTTTTGCTGTTGATGATAAATCATGCAATTGTGATTGTAATAGGGATCAGTTTTTGGTGAAGGTATTGAACATTAATTTTGCTTTTTGCCGTTTCTATTGCAGAGTTATGAGCTTGCGATGGGTGGAGGTGCAGGCTCTGCTGTAAGTACTCCATTATTTATAGCTATGTTGATTTGCTGATTTTTTTTTTTTGGGGGGGGGGGGTTTGAAGAATTGCATTGCATTGCTGTTTTTGTTTAGTGTTGGTTTGGATGGTTTTAGTTAGTATGTAATGATTTTGTTGTGTTCTTTATATCATGTGTTACATGCTTTGGTAGGTTAGTTTGGTTCTTTTGTATGGTATATATGTTTGGTTGCCTTTTAAAGGGCCAGCTATGTTGATTTGCTGTTTTGTGTGTTATGTGTAGTGGCCTTGGTAAGTTGCTTACATTAGTTAGTATAAGGTGAGTGTTTTGTTATTTTAAATGGGGTATGTTCTGTTAAATGCATAGTTATGTTTGAAGGTGATATGTTTCATGCTTTAGTAACCAGCCTTGTTGTTCTTTTGTGATGTAATTGCATGGGCTATTTAGATATCTTTGTTGTGTGTCGTGGATTTAGCCTTGCCTTTGTCTGTGTCTTCCAACAACACATGTTTCACTACCTTACACCTGTAGCTCAAGTGATAAGATGTCACTACACCAGTGTTAGCTGCAAAAGCACTTTTCTTATGTTATGGTATGCACACAGGTGGCTGGTCCTGAAACTCAAAAAGTGTCTATTTCTTTTTCTTGCTTGCTTCAGCAAGTTGTAGAGTATCTGAAAATTCCTCAGCCGGCTTACTACTTGGTTGATGCGAGAAAGAATGTTGTGAAGCATGTCTTGGAGACTGACCCAGGTTTGGGCTTCTATGTGTATGAGGGTGGTCCAGCTAACACAGTAGCAGAATCGCGTGAAATAGCTGCTGAAAAAGGCGTTCGTTCACTTAGGATGGAGTACAGCATTCAGGTTGAAGACTTGACTTCTAAGAAAATTAAGAAGCTCCAGTGTTGTGAATTTCTTTATCAGATGAAACGCATTGAGCTCGAGTCAATGGAAAGGGAGGCAGGGAAAGTGCCAGTCAAGTGGCCAAATGTGCCAAACCACAAGCACTGCAAGAAATATGTGTGCATTGATTACATGGATGTTATGCGTATTCTAACTGTGGAGACTAAAGCGCGTGTTTCGGCAGTTAACACTTTCAAGCTAGGACCAGAAAATTTTATTTCGTGGCTTACGATTTACGCTCCTACAATTTCTACTGGAATGGAATGCATTTTTAGTGGTGCTCGTGCTGACTGCAATGCTACCAAACAAGAGGCTGCTAAGAGGGCTGTAGATTTTTTGCGCACTGCATACAATCTTGACATAGTGGATTTGAACTATGGCAATGGGATTTATGCTGGTATTAAGTGTTCTTTGGCTAGGGAAAGATACTTAGCAGCTAAAGAACGTGTATTGGGGATTCAAGGTGCTTTGCACTTAGCTCCTTTTTTAGGTGAAGATGGCTGCATAACACCTAAGTCTGTTGTGCATAGGATTCCAGCACCTGCTCTTCCTCCACCTCCACCTCACAAACCAAAAGCTAGGCCATCTTTTGGTGACCGCTTCAGTCAGAAGCCATTTGCAGTGCCTCCTGAGTTGGACAACTTATTTAAGCGGAGGAAGTTTGATTAGGGATCAGAGTTGAGTCACATAAGACCTTGTTTTGCTGGCTTACATGTTTTGTTCCGTGTGTTCGTGTAGGCCCTTAGATATGGCATACTCCCTCCGTCCTGGTTTAGTTGCAACGGTTTGACTGGCGCTGGATTTTATGCAAAGTAATTGACTTGTTTATTATAATGTATGTAAGTTGGTAGTGGGCATTTTTTTATTATAGCTAGTGGAAGTGGGCCATAGAATTTTTTTGTGGTGGGGGGGGGGTGGGGTGTGCTGTTGGAGTGTTGGATACACGTGCCATAACATGTGAATCCAAAAAATTTGATTCCTTTTTAAATTTTTGCCGGCAAACACCATCACCGGAATTCACTTTATAATTTTTCCCTCTTGATTTTTTTTGGTGAAATTTCAAATATTTTTGTACACATCCCCTTTTTGAATTTGGAGCTTCCAAATTATGGCCTTTATATATTGAACCATAATAAATGCTTCTTCTTTATTTCAGCTTCACCTGTAGATTACTAAAAAAAAAAAAAAAAAACACAGCAAATAGAGAGTAAAGAACAAACAGAGAAAAAATATGGGGGCGGGGGGGGGGGGGGGGGGTTTGGGGTAGAATTAGAATAAATGTCGTAAGTTTTCTTCTTCAGTTTTCACTTAGATGCAACTAGTGTAGAGTAATCATGTGCATTTTTAGAGAGAAAAGAGAGCTTACAAATGATGCAAGAACCAGAATTGCTAATTGGTTACTAGTAAAAAATTCCACTGGAAAGTTGAAAAGGGGTACCGTGAAAGAAGCATCAGAGCTTTTTGGAGTGTATCGAACCACAATCTACAGAATTTCGAAGCAAGCAAAAGCTCTATGGCAAAACGGTGATGCAGTCAACATGGACTCTAAGAAACCCAAAAGGGTTGGCAAGAAAGGTAAACACATTGACTTAAGTAAAATTTCTGAAATTCCATTTCACAAAAGGGGCAACATTAGGGCACTTGCAATAGCATTAGGTGTTTCTAAGAGCACCATTCATAGGTTTATCAAAAGTGGTCAAATCAAGCCACACACAAATGCATTGAAACCAGCACTTACAGAAAATAATATCAAGGAAAGACTAAAATGGTGCCTCAAAGCCATTGATCAAGACAATGGTATGTTCAACGATATGTACAACACAATCCATTTAGACGAGAAATGGTTCTACATGACAAAAGGGACACAACGTTATTACCTACTCCCAGGTGAAACACAGCCTTATAGAACGTGTAAGAGCAAAAGATTTGTCACAAAAGTCATGTTCCTATGTGCCGTTGCTAGGCCACAATTTAATGCAGATGGAGAATGCATTTTTGATGGGAAAATAGGAATGTTTCCGTTTGTCAGGTGGGTGCCAGCAAAAAGAAGAAGCAGAAATAGGCCAGCAGGTACATTAGAGCTCAAACCAGTTACCTCAGTCACAAAAGAAGCTTATAGGAACATGTTAATCAGACAAGTGATCCCAGCAATCATGCAAAAGTGGCCAGATAACGATCAAGGTCCAATCTATTTGCAGCAAGACAATGCAAGACCTCACATAGAAGTACAAGACAGAGACTTCATGGAAGCTGTGCAAAATTCCAACAAAGACTTAAGGTTAGTATTCCAACCTCCGAACAGCCCAGATATGAATGTGTTAGACCTTGGATTTTTTAGGGCGATACAATCCCTCAAGGATCAAACAGCCCCAAAAAACACCAAGGAGCTGGTCAAGAATGTTAAAAATGCATTTAGGGAGTATTGTCCAACTAAAGGGAATAGAGTGTTCCTTAGTCTCCAATTAGTGTTAATTCAAGTGATGAGAGTAAAGGGGAGCAATAATTACTTGCAAAAACATGTTGGAAAAGAAGCTTTAGAGAGACAAGGACTACTTCCTATTGTTTTCTCTCCATCTCCAAGTCTTGTTGAAGAATGTTTGGCATACGTTGAAGCAATGCAGTAGACAATTTGAAGTGATGAACTTGCAACTTTTGGAAGCTAAAAAGTCAAATGATTAATTTTGTAAAGTTTTTGAAAGCATAATTGTAAACAATCAAAACAGCAGTACATTAGTGGAGAGATATTATATGAACCTCCCTAATACTTTTGTAAATTTTTTGTAAGCATCAATTATTAATGGGAAGATCAAGTACTAACATAAATTAGCTTGTCAATCAATTTACAGAGTACCTAATTCATTTACTACTACACCACCAAGTAAACAACACAATAACACTACGGAGTACATCTTCTAAGAGTACTCATTTTTTGCCTAACAATTACTCCGTACAACATCACAAGCACTAGATTGTACTCCGTACTTAATGGGAACATCACAACATGCATAGCTTACCAACATCACAAGCAGTAGATTAATACTCCGTACTTGATGGGAACATCAAATAAGAATAACTAACACAATAATCCACCACTATTCACTTCCGGAACTATCATCCATCATATGTCGTTCAATAATTGGGACATAACCCTTCAACATCTGAAAAATGTCTTCTTTTGATACATTACCTTTTCATTTTCTAGATTTCAACTTACCTTTCCCAGAACTTTTAAATTGACGTCCGCTGCTACATCGAATTAGCTTTGGAGCTACACACACAGGAGTGGTATCCACTTCACGTTCTGGAGTGTCGGGAACAACCCACTCTCCGTGCTCTACCGAAAAAAACGCACTTGGAAGAAAAACGTCCGGTGGAGTAGTCACTTCACGCTCTCGAGTGTGGAGAACGTCTGGCGGAGTTTCAGGAACTATTGAAAATGGTTCTTCAGAATCATCGACCCAAATCCCAATTACATTAGAATTGGGGTAGATGAATGAGTCTTGATCTTTGTTTTTAGCTAAATCAGGATTAATTTGATGTTTTTCAGTATCATCCATGAGATTTTTTCTCAAATCTACAGTAATTTGTTTCATGATTTGGGGAAGAAGATGAATGGAAGAACCTTGAAAATGGGTTAAAATAATTTGGAGTGAGAAAGTGAAATAATTTGGAGTGAGAAAGTGGCGTGTGAAATTAGATCAAGGGGTATGGGTAGGGGGGTGGGGGGTGTAAATTTTTTATCATTTTTTTACAAAAGTGAAATAATAGTGGGCCATTGATATTTGAGATAAATATTAAAAAAATAGTGGGACCATGCCTTTTATAGAAATGTTGCAAGTAATTTGGGACGGCCTTATAAGGAAAGTGATGCAGGGTAATTTGGGACGGAGGGAGTATTAGCTTAGTGTGCTGCTTGTATTTCAGCTTATTTTGTACTGCTTTATGTGTTAGTTTTATTGGCAAGTCATGGTGGGTGTTTTCCCAGAATATAATGTACTCCAGCCTTTTGAGCTTTGATTAATGAAGTCCTATTTTCTTGCCAATGCTCATTTTCTATGAAAATTCTTGCTGTATTGTTAAGCATGCTTTTTTATATGCACAACATGGTTAACCATTAGATTTTTGAAATTTGATCAGTGTGCAATTTTTCCCTTGACAAGTTATACTAGCTGCAAATACATTGTTACACTGTTCCATTTATCGAAAGATTCTGCAGTGCCTATTTGCAACTTCTTGCTGTCAGTAGCTCAGTTTATATTACCACCATGCGTACATACAAGTTCCTTTACTTGTTATATTTGTCGCCCATGCTATTCAAAGCACCCTATAAATTATCTATTGCTATTAAGCTGCAATCATTTTATTTTGTTCTTTTAAAATGAAAATACTTTGTTGGTATCCAGATCGTGCTTTGCTTAAAAAAAAAAACCATTGCAAAAAACTCGAGTTACCAAACGTTTATAGATGATACAAGCTATGTCTCAAACCCCTGCTCCTATGAGGTGTTAGCTTGTGTTTCTTATCACATGTTCAGAAAAACTTTTTGTTATTTAGAATTTTTAGGTTTTTGCTTGTTCTTAGCAAGTGTTTCTTATCATTCAATATAGGGAGTTGGATGGGGCAAGTTCTGCCACACATCAGCAGCAAGAGGCTGGACAGATTGAGCCTGAAATTGCTTATGCAGGGAATGTTACCAACATAGTGGTTGCAAATTCAGCAACACAGTTTAATAGTAAGCAAAATTGTTTTTATTTGCTATTTGCATTATTTTGGCAAAATTCACTGAGTGAGGTTAGAAGCTGAGCAAGCTAAAACAACTATGAAAGTTTCCTGTGTTTAGATAGCATTAGGGTCAGGTTTATTCTAGTTTGGATTATTTAGCTCTGCATTTGAATGGAAATTTTTTTCATTTACAGGCCCACATCTTTTGCCTGATGATTCAGCTGTAGCTAACATAGCACAAGCTGTGAGAACAGATATTAGCATCCCTCCCTCAGACCAGTTCATGTTGTATACGCAACTTCCTAAGAAATCAAGGTCTAGCAAACGTAAGCGAGCACTTGCAGCTATGGAACAAGAGCCTGTGTTAGTGAGGTTCTTTTACTTTTTTAAAACCACAAGAACACATGCCTTGCTATATTTCTGTGTTTCTGCTGATATTGGTATTATGTTGTTTTCCCGTTGGCTATACAGAGAAATAGGTGAAACAAGTGCACAAGGTAGTAAAAAAAAACCAGGGAACAAAACAAACAAAGGAAAAAAACAACAGTAAGACATCCTTAAATCAATCCTTGTTCTTTAAAGCTTCTTTGCCCATTTGAAATCAGATTAAAGGCCAGGTATATTTGAGAAATTTAGAATTATAGTAAATGTAACTATTACCTGCCGTTAGCTAGCAGCCTAAGCATTTACAGCACTTTAACCTATCACCAAAACCAGTAGGTCTTATCTGACATCACATTGTCTTTGTCCTCTTCACTTTCAATCTTCTCAGCATCCTCATTGTGCTTAGGCGCCACCTGATCCTTAGCAGCATCAGATATCATGGCTACACTATCATCAAGGACATCTTCATTAGTCTTCTTAGTTTTTTCCCTTCATTACAGGTTTTCATTCCTTCAATTTCAATGAACACTTCAGCTAACTCCTTCTCTATCTTCACAACTCTCTTTCCCACTTCAAAATGAATTGCTCTTGCATCTGCTAATTGGCCCTGTAAATTAGCCTTTCTAAGTTGAAGATGCTCCAGCTTGGACTGCATGTTACGTTTTTGAGACATAGAAAAATGGTTAGAAAACATGTTTTGATTTTCTACCATGATCAATTGTGAACTCAGATAGAAATGGATGTAAAAACCTTTCATATATATATAAAAAAAAGATGCACCAGTATGCAGTTCAGCTAAGTAGGCCTAATATACTATAGGTAATACACAGTGTGTAATGTGTTATAGATGAATAAATGCTCCCTTTCCCACCACAGCTTTTATAGAAGCATTAAAAAAAAACTTACTCAATTATATGAGACAGATTAAGTGAATTTTATGTCATACCTGATTACATTAGACCAATTTAACCATAAATGTTTAGTTCTGTTATAACTTAACATGTAATTTTCATATGATAGAGAAAACTACTGCAGTTTCTCAAAAGAAGGTGGTCAAGCAAGCTACAATTAAAAAGTCCAGTAAGTTTTCCTATGCGTATTTTACTTTTTTATTTGCTTATTTTTTGCTATGTACCATGCTGATAAATTTTCTTGGCATGCTTGGTTGAATATCAGAACCTCCAGCAGTTGTATTGGCTTAAAATTTCCTTCCACACCTTTGAGACTGAAATCCCCTTCTATTTGCCCACATTGCTATGCAAAAAAATTTGAACATGAATCACTTCATTTCTGTTATGGGAATGGATCTGTTAAACTAGCCACTAATGAATACCCCCCTGAACTATATAGAATTTTAACATCTGATGAGGAAGATGCATCACACTTTAGACAATACATTCGATTATATAACAACTTATTTGCATTTAGCTCATTAGGTGGTAAATATGATGGCAGCATACATAAAGGAATATATGTTTTTAAATTGCATGGACAAATTTACCATAACTTGCCTGATTTAATCCCTGATGAACAAGGCCCTAGATATTTACATCTCTATTTTTATGATGGCCAATTTGAATCAATTGCTAGAGCAGATTGCTTTAAACAAGTCAGGCAAGATATTATAGACATACTTATGGAGGTATCTGCTCAAAATCCTTACGCTCGCTTTTTCAGATCATTAAAAGAGCTTGACATTCAAGAAGATACACAAATACTATCAATAAAAACACCGTATTAGACCAGCGGGTTTATAATGCACCCACAACAGATGAAGTGGCTGCGATTTGGCCTGACAACAGCTCATCAAGCGCGTCCAATGGCCCATACATCACTGTCAGAGGAAAGTCAACAGATTCTCATTTCATATACCATAATTATGGATGCTATGATCCCTTGCAGTATCCACTCTTATTCCCGCATGGTGATTGCGGCTGGGGTCAGGGTCTGGCCAAGGACAGCGGTACAGGACAGCTGGAAACATACCCCATTACATCTTCAGCAGTGCATACAGAGGAAGATGTCTTTGCACAGGAAGCTAGCCGTGAGTTTCATCTGCCTTGAGTTTCATTATAAAGTTTCCTTCTCATTTTATGCTACTGTTGACACAAATCATGCTTCTGTAAATGCAGGCTTAGCGGATGCAGGTGGTGCTTCAGTCTGCCATATTTCTGCCCGTGAGTACTATGCTTACAAACTGCAATGCCGCCCAAACAATTTGCTCCTGCGTGCAGGCCGATGTTTGCAGCAATATATAGTTGACATGTATGTGAAGATTGAGAACACTCGCCTAGACTACTTTCGCCACAACCAACAAACAATCAAAGCTGATTTGTATCAGGGGATTTTGGATTCCATTGAAAGTGGTGAAACAAATCCCATAAATGTAGGACGACGAGTTATTTTACCCCCCACTTTTATTGGTGGTCCGCGAGACATGAAGCGGCGATACCTCAAGGCCATGGCTTTGGTTCAACATTTTTGCAAGCCTGATTTGTTTCTCACAATCACTTGTAATGAAAACTGGCCAGAGATCAAGGCAGAACTAGCTCATGGAGAAACAGCTCAAAACCGGCCAGATCTTGTTGCCCGTATATATTCGATCGAAATTAATCTGTCTGAAAAAACAAATCATGAAGAAGCATATTTTTGGGAAAGTGGCTGCTATGATATATGTCATTGAATTTCAAAAAAGAGGTCTTCCTCATGCACATTTCCTTATTATCCTGAAGCCTGATTACAAATTGAAAACATCTTCTGATTTTGACCGTTTTGTCTCTGCTGAGCTACCACCCCACAGCTCCCCAGATCTACGAAAAATAATAGTACCCCAAAGCTACCCAAAACAATGCTTAGAAGAAACAACAAACCATGATGATGGATATCCAGTGTACAAGAGACGAGATACAGGAGAAAGTGTCCGAATTCGAGGTTCAAACCTTGATAATCGTTGGGTTATTCCATACAATCCATACCTTTCCGCGTTGTTTGACTGTCATCTCAATGTAGAAGTATGTTCATCTATTCAGGGTATTAAGTACTTATACAAATATGTTTACAAAGGGCATGACAGAGTATCTTTTAATGTTGGTGGTGAAGAAAATCAGGCCGTTGATGAAATTCAAAGGTTCCAGTCTGGTCGATGGGTTTCACCATGTGAGGCAGCTTGGAGGATTTTCGGCTTTGACTTATTTGAGATGCACCCCCCTGTGCAGCACCTTGCAGTGCACTTGGAAAACATGCAAATAGTTCAGATAAGGAGTCATGATCAACTTGATTCTGCAGTGTTAAATGAACGAAGATCCAGAACTCAACTAACAGAATTCTTCAAAGCAAATACAGCCTCACCTCAAGGTACAGGATATCTCTATAGTGAATTCATTGAACATTACAAGTGGGATTCCACTGCAAAGGCATGGTTTCAGAGACAAAACAAGAAACTGGTCATAGGTCGGCTGGCATGTTTTACACCTGCAGAAGGAGAACGCTTCTTTTTGCGGCTGCTTCTTAGCAATGTACGCAGTCCTAAATCGTTTCCTGACCTCCGGACTGTGAATGGAGTGCTATGTGCCACTTTTCATGAAGCAGCTATTAAAAGAGGGCTCTTTGAAGAAGACAATGTTGTTTATTCCTGTTTGTCTGAAGCTGCAGAAATTCATACGCCAGGAGCCTTACGTCGACTATTTGCAGCTGTGTTGGTTTTCTGCGCTCCGAGCAATCCACGTACACTATGACATCACTTCTAAAATGAGTTATCTAATGACTTTAGGCATACCTTTCCACAAAATGTAAGCCAGGTTTTGCTGCTAACAATACAGTCAGTTGAGAAACACTTAGAGTCTATGGGCAAGTCATTGGCTCATTTTCAACTTGAACATCTACAAGAAGAAATGCCAGTAGAACTACAGAGAACAAAGGATATTATTGATGCTTTGGATGCACCTATTCCTCAAGAATCAATTGATTGTAGAGATAAACTCAATTCAGCTCAGCAAATTGCCTTTGACAAAATTATTTCTCACGTTCAAGCAGAAAAGCCTGGTTGTTTCTTTGTTGATGGCCCTGGAGGGACTGGAAAGACCTTTCTGTATAATGCACTATATGTAGAAGTGCGCTTGGCAGGGAAGATTGTTCTTCCAGCGGCAACATCAGGAATAGCTGCAGCAAATATACCTTCTGGCAGGACAACCCATTCACGGTTTAAAATTCCACTTGATTCAGAAACATCGCTCGCTTGTGATGTTCCTAAACAAGGCAGCTTGGCTGCTTTGATTAAAGAAACAACATTGATTATCTGGGATGAAGCTTCAATGGCAAGGAAGGAGAACATTGAGTCTGTTGAGCTCCTACTCCGTGATCTCTGTGATCCAGATCAGCCATTTGGAGGAAAAGTTATAGTCTTCGGTGGAGATTTCAGGCAGGTTTTACCAGTTGTTCCTCACAAGACTCAAAGAGAAGTTGGTGCAACAAGCCTGGTTAATTCACATATTTGGCCTTGGTTACAAAAGTTACATCTGACTGAAAACATTAGAGCTAAAGAAGATCCCCCATATGCATCATTTTTGCTGAGTTTGGGAAATGGTCAGCTTCAGGTAACTAAGAATGCTTTTGTGGAAGTTCCTCCTCACATTGTGAATTATTATCAACAAGCCGAGGAACCTATTGATTATCTAGCTGCTGCTGCTTTCCCTGAATTGCAACATCCTGCCTTTACACCGGATATATTCAGAGAAAAGGCAATCCTAACCCCATTAAATGATGCAGTTGACTCAATCAACAACTTTCTGATTGACAAGTTCCCAGGAGAAGCAGTTCTTTATAGAAGTTTTGACAGTATCCTAGATATAGTTGTGCAATCTACCCAACAGAATTCTTGAACCATCTTGCCCCAAGTGGTATGACACCACACGAGTTGGTCCTAAAAGTTAACAACCCAGTAATCTTGCTGAGGAATATTGATCCTGCCGATGGCCTATGCAATGGCACACGTCTCATATGCAAGTATTTCAGAAGAAATGTTATTGTTTGTTCAATAGCAATTGGTCATCGTAAAGGAGAGCTTGTATTCATCCATCGTGTGAACCTTCGGCCTCCATCATCAACAAAATATCCGATTCAGTTTGAGCGAATCCGATTTCCTCTAAAACTCAGTTTTGCAATGATTATCAACAAATTTCAAGGACAAACACTAAGCCAAGTCATGGTTTATCTCCCACAACCATGCTTCTCACATGGTCAATTGTATGTTGCATTGTCAAGGGCTAAGAAATTGGAAAAAGTGACTGTGATCACACCCCAGCCTACTGAAATTCACAGCACACCAGTTCTGAAAAACATTGTGGCTTATGATGTCTTGCGACTATCTGGCATAACATGATACAATATGATGCAGGTATTTCTAAGATTGCTTCTATACTTATTCATTGAAACAAACTCCTTTTTCTTTCTGTTAATTTTATTTTACTATCCTATTATGCAGGTCTGATGTTGTACATCTTTGGAATATCAGTTTGGTATAGAGAATTTTTTTGTAATATCTGTTTTATAATCATTATTTTATATATAAATATGCAGCATTGAAATCACTTGCACTGTTTTACAAGCATTCTTGCCCTGTTAATTTACATGTTCCTATTCAAATTGCAGCAACACTATTTGAACAGGTTTACTTCACATGTACATTTCTGTTTTCTGTTGCAATTAATGTTTCACAATTGTGCTTTGACTAAGCAAGAAAATGATATTCAATGCACATCTATTATATAATGCTCATTAGGTGCAAACCAAAAACATTATCAAGAATAAATAAATAATTTGGATATAGTTGTTACCTAACTAAATATTGAACTGATATAATAAATAATGAGCACAAATTTTCAATGAAATTACAAATAGGGGGAAAAAACATCAGGATCAAAGGCTGTCTGATTTCAATATTTTACAATATACCTAAAATGGCTAACAAAATCAGATTTGTTGCAAAGCCCTCTTTATCTTTCTTATTTCACTGTTATATATAGTGCCCCTTCATTCTATTACCCTCAAGACAGTAAAGAAACATGTCTTTAACTTCACAGAATCACCTTATTAACTGCTAGACAATACAGTGATTCAAGTCATGATTACTTTAAGTGCAATTTCAATATTTTACAATATACCTAAAATGGCTAACAAAATCTGATTTATTGCAAAACCCTCTTTATCTTTCTTATTTCACTGTTATATATAGTGCCCCTTCATTCTATTACCCTCAAGACAGTAAAGAAACATGGCTTTAACTTCACAGAATCACCTTATTAACTGCTAGATAATACAGTGATTCAAGTCATGATTACTTTAAGTGCAACCCTTTCTTAGTCTTTCAAACAGGTCACACTCAAGCTAAAAATAAATACTTTTTCCCTAGATAACTATAATTATAGCAGCACCTCTTTTTCTGCTGCTCCTATCAAGCATCACAATAACAACAAATAATAATTAAATTCTAGGTTTCCTATGTGGCCCACAATGATGATTTCCAAAAAGAACCTTCTGCTATTTTTAATTCACATAACATCTAATCTTTTATACCTAAATTAGATCAATAACTGATTACTCTATTATCTACTTGCACATGTAACCTTAGTGTATTTCACCGCAAACAGCTTATTAACCACTGGACAAAACTATGTTTCAGTGACTATACTTTTATTACTCATAATATCACTTCAGATTATACTTGCATAATTATTACCATTGTAGATTTCCTTGAGAGAGATTACTCAATACATCTTCTTATTCGATGGACAATATGTTGTATCAGGACATCCTAATAACCACTAAGTTATAAAGGCCATTCAGCTTTAACTTGTCAATAGGCTATTTGCTATTTAAGATTCTTATAGTTCTGAGAGCATTTACTCTCCTTCCATTCTCTTCTGATTTGCTCTGCTGTTCCCGTGTGCTACCAATTTCTGCCTGCAACACCACTTGAAGAAGATAAACACTTTAATGATGCTTTGCTGCACTTAACATCTACCTGTGCATTAACTTCATTCCTTCTCCTTTATTTACTGGCATTCAATTAAGTTATATGTGTTGCTTTCCATGTGGCCTTCTGTTAAGCTGGATTACATCTGTACACATGTTTTTATTAGCTGTATTTTTTCTTGCTTTGCATTCAGCCAACCCATGTAGCTATTTTACATACAGTCCTTTACATAGAAGATTCTCATCCTTTTAAACTTACTTTCATCTTGCCAGTGATTAAGCCACATGTACACAATTATTTTTACTTATGCCCTTATATTTGTTGCCCATGAGTTGAAAGGACCATGTTCAAGTATAATATATGACAGTGAAGACATGTCTTTTTTAAAGTAGGTTACTTGGACATGAAACTAGAAAGGCACTTTGGTAGAGTCCGTGGTTGACCTATTGGTGACTTGGTGATAAGTTAATTGCTACTTATTGACTATATTAGTAACAAATACATCTTTAATTTTTTAAAAAACTTACAGTTGGCTGATGAGAAAGTTACTTTAAGAAATTACATCAGAAATTATATGAGAACCTGTATATTATGATATAAATCAGCTCAAACTGCCTATATTATGAACACAAAGTAACCACATTAAGAAATTCAAGCTTTCATTTAAACCACACCAGGCGACTTAGAACATTTCACAACCAAACACTGAGCACAACTTACTAATTAACAACAGCGTACACACAACTAGAAGTAAAATATTGTTTATTACTAAAGCAACAACATAAGTCTCTGACTACTTAGAAACACAACTACATTTAAGTTACGAATGCCTTGCTGCAGCTTCAAATGCCCTTTAAAAAGAACCACCATAGGAAGCATCACTTCCAGGAGAATATGAAGGGCTAGAGTGGTGATGAATGTCACTCAAGTTAAGCGTAGGCCGAGGCTTGTAATTACTGGTCCCCTTTTTTGGTGTCTGTTTCTTTGGGCTAGGCTGCTTATCTTCAGGCTCAAAGTAGAGAGCAGATACCACAGCCTCTAAATCTTCCACCTTTTTCTCTAAAGTAGTGAGCCGTGCCTCCATTGCTTCATAGTTAGTCTGTTTAGGAGGCTAATATCCACTACTAGGATTCACCTTATCATTCCCCTAACTTGCCATTACTTTCACCTAGAATTGAATAAAAAAGACTGGAGAAATGTGAATGTGGAATACAGAAATGGTTTGTGAAAATGTTGAAGGCTGACCTTCCTTTTATATATGCCTGGGTAACACCTATTTGTCTAAGGGATATAACCATGCAATAACTATACCTATTTAGAAAGTCATACAAAACCTGCTATGTGCTTAGCATTGCATAGCACTGAACTTAATTTATAGTTACAAGTCACTTCATTAAAGATTCCTTTTTATATTTTATTATATTAAATTGTAAATGCATGTATACCATATAATATTATAGTTGTGCATAGACTTATGCCAAATTTGCTTATAATATTATAAAATTATAATATTCTAATTTTATATTTTTATAATATTATAATATTATACAAGTCACTTACATGCATAGACTTATGTCAAATTTGTTGTTATCTAATTTAAGCACAAATAACAAAACTAATTGTCTTTGTATACTTTAGATGAAACCTGAGTACACGCCTTTGAACAAGCTATCACCTGTAAGCAAGGCATACAAATTACGTGTGACAGTGAAAGAAAAGTCTCTTATCCGAACTCCTCCAAACAAGAAAAAATTTCAGAAATTGGTTTTTGAAGATGAAGAGGTGCAAACTTACTACTCTGCATCATTTCATAGTTATTAAGTGCTTACAAATCCTATACATGACTTCTCCATTTCCATGATACAGGGTAACAACGTGAAAGCTACTTTGTTCGGAGCTGAATGCGACCACTTTCAAAAAGTCATTGAACACAAGAAGAAGTATGAGATAGCTAATGCTCCAGTGCGAACAATCAACCCTAAATTTAGTTCATTTCCAGGAGAATGTGAACTAACCTTCGGCGGAATGACTAAAATTCAAGCTATTGATCGAACAGAGGGACCTGTGTTGCCTGAATACATCTCCATAGCTGATGTACCAAGGACAAGTGGACCATCAGACCGGTTTGGTATCATCAAAACCTTATCTAACCTACACATAATAACTAAAAACACATCTTCCTCTTGACAATAATGTGCCTATATGTTACTTAATTGACAGATTTGCTTGGAATAGTAGTCCACATGGAAGACCCCCAACAAGTGGAATACAAATCAGGCAGGGTAGCTGACGTACGTGATATCAGCATAGTTGATGAAAGGTTGATACTACCCTTTTAAGGCCCCAAAATGCTACCTGCAATATAATCAAAATCTGCATTTACTGACTTACACTTTGTTTTGCAGCACTGGTTCTCGTCCAATGATCATCTCTGCATGGGGACAATTAGCCCTTTCTGACTGTGAAAACCTCAAGGACTGGGCAACCACTTTCTTAGTTTAGCTTAACTTCATTGAAGCCTTCTACCCACAGAGGTATAATTTTCTCACCCTTTATCACTGTATAAATCATATGACGATCAAGTATGCTTATGCAACTTTTCACAGGTTTTTCACTGCAATCAAGCATGTCCACAAAGATTGATCCAGCCCCCAGTGGTGAAAAAGCTGACGCTTTAAGAGCTTGGTAATCCAAAAACTTTATAGCTAAAAACCATTTACACCGATACACATTCGCACTTTATTGTACCTAAATCAAGCTTAATTTAAACTCCTGTGATTAATCAGCTATGTCTTTCTTTGTATATTTTACTAGGGCCCATGCACATCCAGACATAATTAGTGATTACATGGCAAGGCAACTCGAATTCATGACTATTGGTGCTGAGCCGGTTCCAACTACACTTGACAACATCATTGGCAAAAATGTGAGTGCATTCACACACAAATCCTTCTACTAACTACCTGTTTTTGTATACTAACACAACTCCATTTAGGTTGACAATACTGTCTAGGAAGAAATATACACGCTGACAGTCACAATTCCAGATGCACAGTTAGACAGTGTTATTGCTTACATTGGCTGCGATAATTGTGGAAAGCGTTGTGGCGTTGCTGCAAATGTGGCCTTCTTTTGCCCACATTGCCCTGACAAAAAATGCACCTCCACTGAAAGGTTTGTTTTTCATTCTTATGCTGCGCAACCAACTAGCCAAGTCCTCATATCACTTACCATGATTTCATACCACAAATGCAGGGTAAACTTTACCTTTGATGCTGTAGATGACACTGGAACATTTCGCCTCACTGCCTTTGGCCAAGTATGCGAGCAAATATTCAAGCTCACAACACTTGAGATTTTTGAGAGAAAGTTAAAGGTTCCCACTCACACTTAACATAAATTCTACATAAAATTATACCATGCAACTAGCTATCTTGGGTATAACACCACTGATTTTTTATCTCAGGATGACTGGAACGATTTTAATCATGTTGCTGCAGCTCTAAAATCCACACCAATGCACATAATCCTCCATCCATCTCAGGCACTTAACAGGGCAGGAGTGTTGCGGTGGGTAGTCCAATCAGTTTCTCATTCTTGAACACTTGTCCTGCCAATCTGCAGCTTCAAATCAGAACACATCATCCACGATAACTCCAGCTTATCATTTTGGATGTGTTCTTATTTGAGGCATTCTTGATTACCCTTAATCATATTCACTACTCAACAATTTAACAACCATTGTCTCTTTAACTCTGAAGTTATATCTTCTTTTGATGATGTTGGTCATATAGAGCAGCTTAAATCTGCTTAGAATTAGGCTTACAAACAATGCCTCTTTTGCTTGCTCAATCCATTGAATGGATTAAACAATTGCCTGTGGTTCAAACTTAATACCTCTTTCATGAAGCACTTTGTTCTTTAAATTATTGCAGGGATGCAATAGCTGCCTATGGTTCAAACTTGCTTATTGTGTGAATTTTGCTCATTACTTTATCACAAATATGCTAATTATGATTGTCATTTAAAGTGCTTTTATTTCTGCATGGATTAGTCATCTATACTCAATGAGTCAGCCATTTAGATCATTAAATCACTAAGTGCATCAATATCCAACTCATCTGTGCAGATTAGGAGCAAAGTAACAACTATTGCTCTCAGAATCTCTGTATCTCATACCCTGTCAACCATTGCTAACTAAACAATCCCCTAGATAATTGCATACTTAGCTTGTACATTTGTAAAATCTTACACATCACACTTTGCATCTCATGTGTTCAACACTCCTGTTACTTATTTTCCCTAATTCTTAATGTCACATTCTATACATTCTTTAACTTTAGTTACTCAGATCACTTTGTCAAGCTCATCATCTGTCTATTTTACTTGCTCATAACTAAAGAAACCATGTCACTTGCTTTCATTAAGTATGCAAAAGCTCTATATACATACGTAAATAAGATAATAATCACACTCATTGGTAATAACTAAATAGGTAACCAATTTGATTTCACTACAATCTCAAAATACAATAGCCAAAAATTAAAATGAATACAGTTCTGCAAAATTAAGCACCAATATCCTTTCACCATTCATAATTTATGCTAATTTATAAAAAAAAAACCCAAGCCATGTCGATTGCCTAGAGTTGCTTAATACATCACTCAATAAAACCGCTAACATAACTATCAAATCTTAGCAAAGTTGCTCACGATTGTTGATGGCCAGCTTCCTGCCCCTCATTCTGCACCCCAGCCTCCTCTGCACCATATACATCCACATCATTATCATCATAGTCATTAACATCATCCCCTTCATCTATATCCTCTTCCTCACCTCCACCTTGTTTCACTTCCTCCTCTCTGCATCACCACCAGCAAGTCTTCCTCCAATCCCACCAACATCCTTTTCATTGCCACCTCCAGTATTCCTACCCACACGACTGGCCCTGTCTTCTTCAGCATCAGCATGTTCTACATACCCAACATTACGCCCACTTCCTCCCATCCTTGCATATAACTTTCTATGCCCTTCACTTACTCTCCAAAAATACGCAGACATTCGTTGTACACGAACCCTCTGAACCTGATCAGACATAACTCTAGCTTGTTGAAGCTTACTTCTATACGCTACCCTTAAACTTGGCAATTCTTCTCTCTTAATCCTTTCCTGTTTTGCAATTGCTTCCATTTCTGCGTACAACACATCAAGCTGTGCTTCAACATCTCGCAACTCCATATCATCTGCCATGTTCACTTAGCCCAAAGTTTGACAATCAAGTTATGAGTTTCTAAAGAGTGAAATTGTAACTGAAACTCTAATAGCTGGCAAATTAATATGCTAAGCCCCTACACCCAGTAATCAAAGATTCAGAGAGAAAGAAGAATAAAAAGAAAGGAGGAGATGAAAAGCTAACGCGCAAAACAAAAAATTTAAAGTCAAATATTTTTTTAAAAACATATCACAAAAAAAATATTTTCTTTTTAAAATAGCTTTTAAAAAAAAGGTCCAAAACCTTTTGATTTCCAATTTTAGACAGAATTTTACAAACAACTTTTAAAGAAGCATATTATTATATATTTAACATTTTCACACTAGGTACTTTTATACCTAATAATATTTAATAAATAATATTGTTTTTATTAAACCAATTTTAATTAAACCAATTTAAAAACAAAACAATTCCAATAATGCTTACATTTAAGTTCATTGTACATTGCAATGTTGATTTAATAACATTTTGTCCACAAAATGATAACTAAAAAACCTTTAACTTTTACTTCTTATCCAACCAAATTAAGCATTATTGTAAGCCCAAGTTTTTTAGGCATACTTGTTAACCAAACAAAAAACAAATAGTCAACTTACCACAATCATATTGTAGGTAAAAAAAAGCCTAAAATACAACCAAGCGCAATTAGTATGGAATAGGTTACAAAACTACATTTTTTTCATAATAAAACACACGTTAAAATGTTTGAGCAATTACAAACAATTTAACAAAGTCAATTAAGACAATTAGATTAGCGAGATGACAACCTAAGCAAGATTCATTTTTAAAAAAACTTGTTTTCTTCCCTTAAAACGATTAAAATTATACGCTTATTTTACTTTTAAAACTTTCCTATATTTCCAAATCGCATATGATATAATGAAAATGAACACACCCTACGACTTTTTATGTTCTTTTTCATTTGACGCGCTTAGACTTTTGCATTATTCATCCCCCCTCCTTTTAATAGCTTGGCATACTTATAAAATTTAAACCCTAATTCACACGTGTTTATAAATGTTGTGCATCTAAGGAAAGTTATAAAACAACTATTTTTAGCTTGAAAATTGTTTTAGAACAAGTACATTAAAGTTGTACTATGTAAATCTATATTCTTTTACATGTTGGAATAATTGTTGAAACTGCTATTTGATTGGTCAATTGAAACGTTTGGGTTCCGTGGTCCATATATTGTACTCTGCTTCTCTTGTCTGCTTACATCTTTTTTTTCCTCTTTCCTTTTTCTGCAACAAAACTTTTTCTTTCTCTGCAACATGCAACAATGGCCAGCACTGACAGCACTGCTACTTCTGGCAAGGTATTTGCACCGCCGATATGGAGACCTAATGAATCAAGATCAAAATCAGAGAATGTCGCAAACTTTCGTACATATGTGACGGAAATGACGGAGAAGATGAACAATCATATGGAAATTCTCGAACAAGGAATTTTAAAAGTAGGGAAAAACAAAAAAGAAAAAGGTGAATCAAGCAAGAAAAGGAAAAGAGAAATTGAGAAAAATGATTGTGGAGACTGGCCTGTCATCATTGTTGAGTCAGAGAATGATGACGCTCAAAATCATCTAAAGGAAGCAGGTGAAGCAGAAGGGCATGAAGGAGATGGTCAAGAGAAAAAGGACACTGAGGAAGATGGAAAGAAAGAAAGAAGTAAGTCAGAAGGGGAAGATGAAGATGCTGAAGAAGAAAAGGAGACTGAGGAAGGCGAGACCGATACAAATTCTGAAAGTGATGTGAATTCCGAGTCTGGAACTCGGAGTGAAGAAAAAATTGTTATAGAATCTGATGAACCATCCGAGTCAGACAGCAATCAGTGTGATGATGATACCGGAACAAAATCCGATTCCGGGAATTATCAACAAGCAGATCAAGAAACAAGCGAAGACTCTTCCATGTTTGCTATGAAAATTCCTGATTAAAAATTATTTGTAGAGAATTAGACACCATTGTTGTTTTTGTTTGTTAATGGTGTGGTGTTTTTTGGATAAATTTTAAAAGTGCTAGCAGATTTAAACTCTGTTAAGAGTTTTTTTTTGGGTGATAGTTTATGGTTATTCTATTAGTGGTTAATGGTTGTAAATGTGCAAAGTAAGCATGTACCTAAGGTCTTGACTCATGTGTAAGCAAAATTAGCTAATACAATATGAAAGCATGGTCTATTAGCAAAATTTCAATCATTTTCATCAAAAAATTAATTTCATTGCATATCACTTGTTGCTATTTCTACTGATTTACAGAATATGAATATACATTGATACAATGCTTAGCTTGTAGTTTTGTATACTCACAATGAGGTACAATTTCAGTCAACTCTATCTATTAGCATTACAATAGCATGAGTGCTGCACTTCATCGCTCTGAGGAAATATATTCCATTGTGACCTATACATTTACCCAATACCAAAAGATTCACATTATGCATTACTTATTCATAAGCAGGAAAAACAAGTCTTATCCTGTCATGTATATGCCTTGCAGCTTCATGTTAAGAATAGCATCGAAATTTAACTTTGCATAAACATCGCAAGCATACCTGAATCAAGAGACACATGTCACATCTCTCAAGCATATCCTATCAAGCATTGGAGTTCCCTAATTGCTCTGATTATTCGATAGCATAGTAGAAGTATTTTTATAGCACATGCCCAATAGAATAATTATCACAATTTCCATTATAAAGACATCAAAATACAATTTTCATTATAAAGACACAATGCAGCCAAGGACCATACATAAAGAGAATGCAATTCCTTGTTACCAGATCCATCACCATAATTCTGTGTCCCATCACCAACAGTGAGTATAACATATTTAATAATGCATGATTAACAATAAAGTTTAAAAGCTAAAGTTTAAGTAGGCTATCAAATTTATGGAAGTATACAGCTACAAATACAAGTTAGAGCTACTACAAATATCAGCACAACACATGCAATGGACTGGCAAAAACATTCAGACATGTTTGCTTGTATGGCTAATGCATGAAAGAGCAGAAATTGATCACTCTGATACTTACATACTTCAACCAAATATTTGCAAGCTAGAGCTACAATATATGTTACAACCTGAAACTGCACGCAAATGCGACGCTTTAGCAATTTTGATGCAGAAGCAACATATCAGTCAAGTAGGTTACTAATGCATATAAGCAAAAGAAATTTTTTTTGCTAAATAATCAAAAAAAGAGAAGGTTGATATAGGATATATATAATTGTTTCTTTTTTATAATGACAACAATAGTCTCCACTAAATTTATGGTATGCAAAAACTAATAATATTACCAATAATAATTCTATACGTTTCCTTTTTCTACCAATAACCACTTTCTTCCATCGCAATCCACAACCACACATTTTAAGTATTAGTTTCAAATCAAAGCATACTTAGATTTCTAATTCGTGAAACCCCCAATATGGCCACATTTCTAAACACGACAAACACATACGATTCACAAACCAAAAGCTCGCGTAGCGCGCTCTGGCCTCCCTAGTTATACAAAAGGCCTCAAAATCATAACACATGCACTTTATAATGTAAATAGAGCAAATATCTCTCAACCATGAAGTTTTCACACAATAAAAACGATTCATAACAATATGAATTTAGAATAGATAAAAGGATTAAAGACTTTAGATTAATATTAAACGCTGTAATTCAATTTTATAAGGATTTAGACGCACTTTGAGTAA